CTTTCAAATATCAAATTCACTATACTATATATCTACTCTTTTTTTTTAATTTTTCTATGGACATAGGTAATTTAGTATTCCAAAATTGACATTCAAAAATAAATCTAAGCTCGTAAGACATAAATTTTGCTAATCTTTTCTCTCTCTCTTTATAGTATAATATAATATAATTTTGATCAATATGAATTTCATGCTTAGATACATGTGTTCTCTATATACTTATCTATATCTACAACCAAATTTATATAACATTTTAGTAGCCACTACTAGGCGGGCCCAAATATGAGGCCAATATTTTTATATTTTTAATTAAAAGATATGATTAATTTTAAAAAGAATCTACACTTTAAAATATACATTTTAAAGCCTAACTATCTGTGGCCAGTTCTAACCACTACTAATAAGAATATTAAAATGAGTTAATTAGCACAAGAAATTACGTAGGTACTGTGTTTACAATGCTTTTTTCGTGTGTTTTTATGAAAAAAATAATTGACGATTGTTTATATGGACACTTTATTTCATTGGTTTAGGTGGTGGTGGGACTTTATTTCATTGGTTTAGGTGGTGGTGGGGTAGGATGCTGCTGCGTCCAATATGTAGAATATTTTTTAATTCATTATTAACCGAAAAAAAACAAAAACTCATGATTATTTATCTAAAAGATGAATTAAAAAAAAAATCCCAACACGTCTAGTTTCTTCCCAAGTACGGATATAAAAAAATATCAAATCATTGCGAAGCGGATAAGTGATAGGAAGCCGAGATATTGCCCTACGACCTACCTGTTTTCTTTTTGTTTTTTGTTTTTTAATAAAATTTAGATTCAGTTTTTTTATACACGTTATCCAATCACAATTAAAATTTTATCTTAATAATATATATTTATATTTAATACAAATCTCTTTAACATATATTTACGTATAATATAAAAATAAAACTTCAAATGTGATAGAACCAAAAGATCTTTAGGTAAGTTTTGCACATTCTTCTTTTTACCAATTCAGTTCACGAATATCGTGAGTTATTTATTTGTTTTTTTTCTTGGGTTGAAACCTCACAAAGATGAGATAGATGGAGAAATTAAATAATTGTAAAGATGAATGAATAATTGCAAAAGCAATAGATGAATGAACAGTATATGCATGCATGGGAGCATTTGTGGTTCGCATGTGAAACGTGGCTATACATGGATCCCTATCCCATCGCATTATTATTCTATAAAAGGGAAGAATGGAAGCATGTATGTTCATAAATTGCCGCTACACATTGAAAAGAATTAAAAATGGGAAGCATGTTTATGTTGGGAATGTGGTTGTTCCTATTGGTGTCACCATTTCCACTTGCATTCTCGGAGCGGTGCCACCCACATGACAAAAAAGCACTGCTCCAACTGAAGAAAGACCTCAACAACCCTTATATCTTAGCCTCGTGGGACCCAAATGAGGATTGCTGCGAGTGGTACTGCGTCAAGTGTGACGAGAAAACCAACCGCATTTACGACCTCGACATATCGTCCTCTGTGCCAGACACCAACCTCTCAGGCCAAATACCTCCCTCTGTGGGTGACCTTCCTTACTTGGAGTCCCTCACTTTCCATAAGCTCCCCAACCTCGTCGGCCCAATCCAGCCCACCATCGCCAAACTCACCAAACTCAAGTACCTCATTATCACCAACACAGGTATCTCCGGCCCAGTACCTGATTTTTTGGCCCAACTCCAGAGCCTCGACTTGATCAAACTTTCCTTTAACAGCCTCTCCGGCACTATTCCCAGCTCCCTATACCAACTACCGAATCTCTCCTCCCTACAGTTGGACCGGAACCAGCTCACGGGCCCAA